GGGGGGGGGTATTCCACAACATCGCACGTTCCTCCCCCCCCCCCCGCATGCGCCGCCCCCCCAGCCAACGAGTCCTCGCCAGCTGGCCCTCCTCGGGGGCCGGTGTTGCGCGCGCTCCTGGCGGCTCGCGTGCGCACGCGGGCCGGCGCCCAATGTTTCACGAGTCGCCGAGGTCAAAGATGATGCTCTGGCAGAAGTTGTCGTCGTTGAAGCGGCGGCGGCGGTCGGGGATCGGGCCCCGGTGGCCATTGCTTCGACGCCCCGCGCCGGCATTCATCGGGCCGGAGGTTTGCTGTTGGAAGCTCGTGGCGGCGGCCGGCTGCCAGAGGGTCTCCTCGCCGGCCGGGGCGGTGCTGGCCGCCGCGGCCCCGATGCCCGAAAGGCGAGCCGCCTGGTATTGGCGTAAGTCGGCCTGGGCACGGTCGCGGCGGTCGGCCAGGTCGTGCTCCGGGGCGCCCCCCTGGCCGGGCAGTGGCGGCCGGTTGAAGGTCCCATTGCGGAAGATGCGCCCGGATGCCGTGCTAAACATCCCCTGATCCCGGGGGGCTGCATGTCCACCGGCGTCGAGAGGGCCCCCGAGAGCCAGGCGCTCGGTGGGGCCGGTGCTCGGGCCTTCGGCAAGCGATGCCACCCCCTGGGAGCCGCCGGGAGCCATGCCCCCCACCGAGGGGCGCATCATTAGGTCGGGGGCCAGGGGAGGTTCCGGTCGCGACAGAGCTCCGGCCGGTCGCAGTGCCCCGGCACCCGGATCGAGCGGGCGCCCAAGCGGGTCGATGGGAAGGTGGCTGTTGAGCATTCGCCGCCAGGCCCCAGCAAGGGGCTGGTCATGGTGGTCGTCAGCACCGGCCCGCCGAAAGGAATGGCGGCGCCCGGGGCCGGCGGGCTGCCGGCCGTCGGTCTGCTGGTCGCGGTGCCGAAGCTCCGTCGACGACCAGCCACTGGAGGAGCCAAGCTGGCCGGCGCGGAAGCCGGCGGACAGGAGCTGGTGCGGGTGCAGGATGCCATCCGGGTCCCAGGCGGGCCGCGGCCGCGGCCGGCCGCCGGGCCCGGCCGCCGCGCGGTCATTCACCTGCGACCCGCCGGCCGCGCTCTCACCCGCGCCGGCCAGGGAGAAGGGCTTCATCGGGCCGCCGGTCCACAAGTCGTCCTGGTCGAAATCCGGCCGCGGGGGAAGGGTCACCTCAGCGGGATCCGGCCGGCCGGCCACGGCGTCGGCCAGCTGCTGGCGGAAGTCCCGCCTGGCACCGGGGACCACCTGGCCGAGGACCTCCTCCCGGCGATGGTGCATCAGCTGGTGCATCTGCTGCTGGCTCGGCAGGGGAAGGGCCCCGCCATCGGCGAAGGCGCGCCGGCGCAGCACCTCGGCCGTGGGCGCATTGCCGACGCCCAGCCAGTAGTCCGGGCCGAGAACTTGCCCGCCCCCGGCCATCGGCGTCCGGCGAATGACCGTCACCTGGCCACTGTCAGCCGGGTGATCCGGGTCGAAGTTCGGGAGCGGATCATGGTGGTAGCCGGCTCGCTGCCAGGGGAAGAGGTAGTCCGTGAGGCTGCTACGCGGGGGGATGGGCCGCGGCTCGACCGGCCTCGGGTGCGAGATGAGCGGCCGCAATTCGTCGGCCACGCTGCTGGTGGAGCTCTCATCGCGGGAGGGATCCAGCGAGGCGCTCGAGGAGACACTCCGGGCGGCGGCGATCACCAGCTCCGGGTCGCGCCAGTCGTCTTCCTGGATGGCCGATCCGGCGGCCGCGGCATTGGCGGCCGCCGGGCCGGCCGGCTGCTGGGGCAGCGGCATGTGCGCCGGGTCGCCCCGGGGCGACAGGGCCCCGGCAATGCGCTGCCAAAGGGTCCGCCGCGGGGAGGTTGGTGCCGAGCCCATGTCGATGGCCACGGCTCCCGGGGAAAGGGGCACCGTCGGCGACATGGCCGAGGGCACGGGCGAGCTCGGCTGCACCGGGGCCTGGTAGCCGATCGACGGAAAGAAGGCATCCAAGGAGCCCGGCTCCTCCGGCAGCGGGTGGGGCTCATGCTGGAGGGCGTCGTTCAGGTCAAAGCCCGTCAGGTTGTCCGTGCGTCCGGCCTGGCGCCGGGGAACCAGGCGCCCGTCCAGGGTGACGATCTGGTCGGCCCAGAAGCGTCGACGCTCGGGGGTCGGATCCGGGTGCCAAAGGCGCTCGGTAGCCAGCTCCTTGCTGAGGGGGTCCTCATTTTCGAGGGCAAACTCACTCTCGCGTGGGGAGTGTGCCGGCGTCACGGGAGGCGGGGCGGGGCTTCCCGGACGATGCATCGGGACATGGCCCGAAATGTGCAGATCCCCGGCTTGAGGGCGCTCGCCATCGAGTGGCGGGATGTACAGGGCGGGCACGCGACTGTCTCTGGCCAATGGTCGCCGTTAGGAGGGATACATCGGGGCAGGGGGGGGGGCGGGACGGGAAAGGGGCGGAACGTGCGACCGGAGGATGAGAGGGGGCGGGGGGGGGAAGCGAATGCAAAAGCACAGGGAGCCAGGGACAATGGGGCGGAGGAGAGTTGCGTCGCGGACACCCGCGCGCACCTGCTGCTTTCTAGAGTGCGCTTGATGAGGGGCGTGGCTGCCGGGGGGGGAGGGGGCCCGGGCGCGGCAGGCGGCTGCCCGGCGGGCGGCACCAGGGAAGCACCCCGAGCGGCGGCGGCGGCGGCGGCTGCCGCCTTCGCACAGCGTGGCGTGCACCGGGGGCAGTGGTCCGGCTGGTGGCAGAGTAACAGGGCAAGATTACTCATGTATGGTGAATGTATACGCGGCTTTCCGGTGGAGAAAATCCGTCCGTGGGAGAGGGCGAGATATCCTTGCGGCGAGTCAGGGTGTCAATGAAAGAGGAATTCCATTTCGTCTGGCGATGTGGCGTGGAAGTTTCCCTCTGGGTCTCTTTCGATCGCAAGCAGGGGGGGGGAAGTGACGGGCATACGCGTCTGAAAGGAAGAAAGAATCGTTTTAGAAGTGAGGTGGTCTTGGGGATTGGCTTTGCCCTGATCAACCCGGGGGCGGTGGGCCAGTGCGGGAAAAAGAAGCCACTCCGCGCCGAGGGGGTCTCGCTCGGCGGGCTTTGTCCATGGTTCTACTCTATCCCCCCCGGCCTGTCTCCCTGTCTCTCTCTCTCTCTGTCTCTGTCTCTGTCTCTGTCTCGCCCTGCCCCTCGCGGACACACGGTGCATGTTGCTCGAGTAGTCTTTGGGAATTTCAACCCATCCCGTGAGCAGCTTTACACAGCATGAGGCAGAGGCCCGGACGACCTGGAGGCGGAAGGTGCCAGGAGCGGGGGAGCAGGACCATTCCGAGGGAATCCGGCAGTCGACTCCCGCCACCCCGCATCTTACAGCTCCAGCCCCGGCCCCGGCCCCGGCCCCGGCCCCGGCCCCGGCCCCGGCCCCGGCCCCGGCCCCGTGCCGAGCTCTCTCTGTCTCTCCTGCCCACTCCATCCACTGGTCCTCGGGTGGACGATCAGACCATGGTATGAGGGGGCGAGGGCGGAGAGGGGGCAAGAGAGTCCTCGGTTTTCCGCGGGGGTCTCTCGTAGGGGGGGGGGGGGGGGGGGAGATCGCGCACTCGCGCACGCGCTCCCAGGTCCAGGGATTTCCTCCCCTAAAAGTGTGTAACCGGTAGGATCTGGTCTCGCTTAATCGTGTGCCCCCCCACCCCCCCACCCCCGCACACAAACACATCTACACAAATACCCCGCTCGCCCCGGCGCCTTGGCCAGGCGGATCCTGCCTTGAAGCAGTGATTGTTGCCGATGAGTGCTCTTGATGCAGCAGTTCACCCACAATCCGCCCCGGCAGGGGGCGCCTCGCGAGCAGATAGTCCAGTTCTGATATAACATCAGGTGGCATGTTCCCGGGGTTTGGGCTCACATGATCGCACCACCCAGGGGAGCGTCGTCGCGTTTTTCCCCAGCTTTGTGCCTGAAGTGTGGAGTCCTCCGGTCCCTCTGCCGATGCCGGGCTTCCGCTTGGGAGGGTGCGCTCCCGTCCACCCGGCCTGCCGCCTTCCGGGCGCCTGGGTGTTGGGGCGGGTTTCTGGAGGCGGCCCTTTTTTCGGCGGGCCGGCCTCGTCATTCCGATCGACGGCGATCTGACTGGCACCTTCGAGGGGGGAGGAGGGGGGCGGGGGGCGCACGTACTGCCAACATTTGGCCCGGGGGACACACACGGACACCCATACGGACACACACACACGGACACACACACGGACACACACACACGGACACACACACGGACACACACACGGACACCCACACACCCACACACAAGCATGGGAGGGGGAGCAGGGTTGCAAGAGCCCAGGGGTGCGGCGGCATTTCCCGGATGCCGATCTTGATGGATATGCATGCATGCCCAGGGCGCCTGAGGGCGGGGGGGGGGTTCATCCGGCCCTGGCATGCGCCCATCCTCCCCCGGGCCCGGGGGCCACACGCATCTCCCCTCCTCTCCTGCCTGTTCCTTTGCCTCGCCGCTGCACTTTGCCCCCTCGCCCCGGTTGCCGCCTGCTCCTTGTTAGTCCTCCTGTCATTTGAAACCCCCGGTCCGGTGTCTGTGCGGACAGAGGCATGACGGCAGCCGGGCCCGCCTCTCCCGCTCAGTCCGCCACTGCCACGGGTGAGGACCAGCTGCCTTCGCCATTCAGCGAGGACCAGGGCGCTTCTCTGCCGGCTGACCCGAGCACCAGCCTTTCTGGATGGTCGGCTTCTGAAAGTCCGGCCTCGCCATCATCGCCGGCTGTCCGGCAGGAGCCCCATCTTCCGGCGACTGCCCAGCAGCCGGTCTCCTCGCCGGTCCCGGCTCTCGAGGGCCCTCTTTCCCCGTCCTCCCCCCGCAGGACCGAGCGCCCTCCGCCCCTGCGGAGCGACGCCCGACTGTCGCGTCCGCCATTTACGGCCGATGATCGTCGAACTTTGTCATTGTCGCCGCCGCCGTCGCCCCCGCCACCAGACGATCTCGCCCACACCTTTGGCGTGATCCTCCCTCCCGAGCCGGAGGGAGAGGCTCCGGACATGGCCCACTTGAGGGAGATCCTCGATTCCACATCGTACGCATGCACCTCCTCCAGCTGGGTTCCACCTGACTCGTTCTTTCCCCGCCGAGCCGTCGCCGCCTGTGTCTTGGGCTGACTGTGGTTTCCTCGCTCGGAGTAGCTTTGACCGGCTGCTGGCCGATGCCGCCTCCTCACATGTGCGACACATCCTGGCCAAGCTCCTCCCTGGGACACCGGCCCCGGTGGTGCTGCCCGGCTCACCGCCATCGCCACGGCCACCATCGTCACCCCCCCCATCGTCGATCGAGCCCCTCCCGGCAGATGCGGCGCTCAACTCGCCCGCCGCATCCTCTCCCCTGCCTGCGATGCCGATGCCCGAACTGGGAGCATCTTCCTCCGACTCGGCCACCCTCCTGGACCATGCTGCCTGGGGGTTCGGCTTGTCTGTGGACTGCGCCCAGGAAGATGAGGACGATTCGGTGGACGCGCGCACGCATGTCCTTGTTGCGGCCATCGCCTCGTTGCCTGGTGGCCCGCCGGAGGAGGCCCCTCCGGCGGTGGTGTCGGGCTTGCCAGCCGATTTGGCCCTCGGGCGCCTTGCCTTGCCGGCCATCGAGTTTGATCGGTCGGTTTTGCTGCCAGCCATCCCCCCGGCAGCAGCTGCGGTCAAGGTCTCCTCGGCGGCCCCCTCGGCGGCCCCTCTGTCGGGGGCTTCGCCCGATCAGCCAATCAGCTCGGCAGTTGCTCGGCCTGGCGTTGCCGGGTCCACCCTGGGCAGTCAAATCAGCAAATTCTTTGCCCCCGCCGGCCCGGGGCCCCTCCCTGGAACGGGGCTCATTTCATTGCTGTCCTTTACCCCGGCGGCCGGCGCTCCCGACGGGGAAACCTCCCTTGCTCCGTCCAGTCCAACGAGCGCGTCGAATCTCCTGGCCGAGCTGTCCGACGCCCTGCGAGTTCCGCCCGGCGAGACGCAAAGCAAGTCCCGGTCTACGGCGCTGACTGCGGCCGCGGCGTGTGCCCTGGCCGGGGCGGTCCTCCTCGGGCCCGGGACATTTGCGGTGCTGGGAGTTGGTGCAGCGGCCGCGGCCGCGGCCGCAGTGGCTGGCGCAGCTGTCGGGGCCGCCAGCGGCGTCGGTAGTGTGGCTGTTGTCGAGGCACGCCGTCGGCGCCTGGCCCCGGTCGAGTTGAAGACATTGTCCAGCTCAAATGGCCCCAGTGAAGTGCCCTCCTCCGATGATGCCCCGAGCGGTGGCCATGCCGGGGCCAGCTCCCGCCCGGGTGACGATCCTGACCCTGCTGCTGATCCTGCTGCTGATCCTGCTGCTGATCCTGCTGCTGATCCTGCTGTCCCAGCTACTACCGAGAGTTTTGATCCCACAACAACAGCTGCAACAACAGCCGCAACAACGACGGCAACAGCAACCGCTGCTTCTACTACTACTACTGCTGCTGCTGCTGCTGCTAGCCCGGCACCCGCTGTGCCTCTTCAGATCCCTCCCGACGATCCTTCCGGCGATGCGATCGCTTCGATACCTTCTGCGCATGACAATCCTTCGAGCGCCACCGCCCCGGCCAGTCCGATCCCATCGTCGCCCAAGCCCGCCTCTCCGGGCCCGGGATTGGCCCAGTCCCCGGCACTTGCCGGAGCCCTGTCATTTGAGATGCTTCTCCAGCGGACCGGTCTGACGCGCTTTTTCGGGGGAAGTTCCTCCTCCGCCACAAACTCGGCCACCTCCTCCGACTCATCTGGATCCTTGGCTGCCGGGTCTGTCTCGGTGAATGGCGATGGGCTGGTGGATGATCAGCCCGTCCGGGCGGTCATTCCCCCGGCGCCGCCCTTGCCGGGAGCCTTTTCCGATGCCGTCCACCTGGTCGGTCCGCTGGTGGACCCGGATCGAGCGGTAGGCCCCTTTTCCCAGGTAGCTGTCAGCAGTGAGCCCGGGCCACGGAGTACCTTCGCCCGGAGAGCCACATCTGCATCGGTGGACATCGGCCGGCCGACCGGGCCCGGGGCTGAGCCCTCTCCTGATGGAAGCCCCGGCGGTGCGCCGGCTGCCCTGGCTCGGTCGCTGGATGACAATTATTCCGGCCAGTCTCTCCTGACCGGGTCTGCCCTGTTGGGAAGCAAGGCATTGGATGTGACGCCTCAGGCGGGCGCTTCGCCGGGAAGCCCTCCCGCGTCGCCGGGTCGCAGGCCAATGAGACAGGGAACACCGCGGTCACGAGGTCGTGGCCGTCGCGGAGGTGGGCCCGGCCCCCTGGTACCGCACACCACTTCCACCAGCCCTGATGTTGGGCCTGATGGGGCGCTTCTTTCCTTCGAAGAGGCCTTTGGCATGTTCAGTGTGCCGGTGCGCATTGACTCGCGGCCCAGCTCGCCGCAGCCATCCGGCAAAACGCGCGAGGTCCTCTTTTCCGCCGATCCCGAGCCTGCTGGAGGTTCGACGCTCTCCTCCTCCTGGGAGGGCGAGGAGGAGGACGCGGAGGACGCGGAGGAGGAGGAGGAGGAGGCCACGAATGATGGCGAGCTGGCCATTCCGGCGGAGGCAGTGGTCCATGTCCACCCATTGGAACCGACAAACCCGGTGACCGAGCATGCCCACCAGCGGGGCCATTCCTCCATGTCACCGGACCGGACTGACGGGTCTCCGAGGCCCCTCTTGCGGATTCACACGGCTGTCACCCCGTCCGGCCCGGTCTCCCCCTCGTCATCAGGGCCCCCGTGTGTGCCCCTCATGGCGGCCAGTGGCCACCCTGTCGCCGGGGACGACCATGCCTCCTCCCTGACAAGGCCCAGCCCAGGTGCATCTCCTCCCGCATCCGGGCCGGTGCTCGGCCTGTCCTCCTTCTCCCGGCATGGGACTTCGCACTTCCGGCGCCCCTCGGTCGGTGGCTTCCCCCTGCCCCTTTCCCCGGGCGGGGTCTTTGGTCGGTACTCCTCGGATCGCCGTGCGATTGACGGATGGGACCCCTCCAGAGAGGGAACCGCCGCCCCCCTGATGCCTGGTGTGCAGCCTCCCTTCGAGGATGACAGCCCGCAGTCTGCGCTCAGCAGCGATGAGGATGCCTCGATGTGAGCAGCACGTGTCCTTGCGAGAGGGAAGCCCCAAATACACGTTTGTCCCTCTGCCCACTTGTTTTTTTGTTTGAGGGCCTCACGTCGCCGGGTTTTGCATTCGCGATGCCCATAGGGGGCATGCTCGTGGCCATGGGCATGTCCAAGATGGCATGCGCTCCTTCATGCATGCCGGGAGGCTTGCACATTCACACACACGGACACACACACACACACATGCACGCACATCAGGGAAGGGGGTCCGATTTCATTCTATTCGGGCGACAGGACACAGGCAGCGCGACAGGCATGTGGTCGGCGTGGGTGTGAGCGTGGGCGAGGGCGTGTGCCAGTCGCCCCCAAGGGGACGGAGAAAGGGGGAGGCAAGGATACATGTACAAAAAAGGCTCCCCCCTCGGTCTCACTGTTGGTCGTGTTCTTGTGGCTCTGGCATTGGACGATCAAAGGGGCGGGGAGGCAGATGGGCCAGGAGGAGAAGGGCAAACTCGTATGCACACGGATGTGCGTGCAGCTATATAAAAAATGCGCACACATGCACGGGCCATCAGCACTCAGCACGGAAGTGCTCCTCCGAGTCACTGTCCGAGTACTCGGACTCCTCGCCGGCCGAGGCGTCGTCATCCTCGCTGTCCGGCCCGACATCGCTGTCCTGCTCCTCCTCCTCCTCGCCAGAAGAGGAGCCCTCCTCCTCGTCGTCATCATCATCATCATCCTCCTCACCGCCCATCAGCTGGGAAATGGTGGCAATGAAGTGCCGCGACATGGCTCCAGTGACCGACTTCGGCAGGGCCTCGGCGGTATCGAAGAAGTCTAGCCGATCGGCGTGACTGGACTGGATCCCACGCAGGAAGGTCGAGGGGGGCCCGGCAGCCGAGCGCACAAAGAGAGCCTTGCCGGCGGACTGTTTTTTTTTTCGCGGAGGGAAAGCCAATCGATGGACGTCATGGCGCAGGTGGACAGGCATCCGGCGTTAGAAGGGCCGCGGCGCATCGATCAAGCGGAGTGCATGCGAATAAAAAGCGGCAAAGAAGCAGGCGCGGGGAGGGACCAAACAGCGACCCAAGCATGAAGAGGCGCGTGGGGCCTTCGAGCAGCGTGGAAAGCGGGACGAGAGGCATCACAAAGGCACCCAGATGGCGCACCTTCTCCTGAGCACGGGCCAGCGGGTGGTTGGCCGGCGGGGTCCAGGCAGGGAAGACCGTCCGACCGCCGGTGGCGTCATACTTGGCCAGGAGTTCGGCCGGCGAGCCAGACAGCCCGGGCAGATCCCCGGCAATACGACTGGCCAAGGTGGCCACAGTCGGATGGAAGTTCTGCTGCATGATGGCCAGGTCCCACAGGGGGGAGGAGAAGGGGGCCGAAAGGTCGGGGTCATCGGCATCTGCGCGATACACACCGGCCGACGCGGCATTCGACTGCTCCGTATCCAGCAGAGCCCGAGTGCGCGGCCAGCGCCGGAGGAGGCTGTGCGCCGAGGCCACCAGCAACAGGGACTTGTTGGAGGAGGGCATCTGCGAAGCCACATGGAAGAGACGCTTGATGAAGGCGGCGATGCGCTCTTGGGAAACCTGTCGAAGGAGAAGGGAGGGGGCAGGGGGAGGAGGGGAGTGTGTTCAAGCGTGCGGGCCAGTCAAAGGGAGAGCGTGTGCGCACACGTCGAACAGGCGCAGGGCAAGGGGCAGGGGAGGAGCGATGGTCAGGGCTGAGCAGGTCAGGCGAGGGCCAAGGGGGGGGGGTGCGGTCGAAGACGCACGTTCTTGGCCTTGTGCAGCATGGCATCAATGGCCTCCACCGCCAGGAGGACACTGTCATCCTGGGTCGATTCGCCGGTGTAGGACAGCCCGCCGGCGGTGAAGGGAAGCAGCGGCAGCAGGCGGAAGAGCACACTGTAGAAGTCCTTCAGATCCAAGTTCAAGGCCTCCAGGCCGTGGTTGGACACCAGGCGGAAAGCCGCCAGCACGCAGTGAAGGGCATTGCGCGGGCTGATCGTGGAGTTGGCCGAGACCCCGGTCCCGGCGACGGTCGACGTGGCGGCCGGCAGCGAGGCCAGCGCCACGGAGCGAAGGGCAACCAGCAGATCCTGGAAGAAGTCAATGTTGATCAGGTGCGCATATCTTCAGCGCAACGGTCACAAAGGAGGCCCCACACGGCGCCCGGGAGATGTCGGATGTCAGTGTCGGGGGGCGGAGGGAGTGTGCGTGCGCGTATGTGTGTGTGTGTGTGTGTGTGTGTATGGGAGGGAATGCGGGAGGAGGGGGGGGCGAAAGGGGGCGGGGGAGACGCACGCGCTAAGGCCCTCCAGCACGGTAGGCAGGACACGGCCCACCGGGCCAGCCACGCTGGACCCCGACGCGGCGGCCTGCTTGATCAGACGGAAATAAATCTGGATCACCATACTCAGGGTGTCGGTCTGCAGACGAATGCGCTCCTCTCGGCGGTAGGTGGCCTCAGACTCGCGCAGGTCACGATCGATCTCCTTCTCCAGCTTCTTGAGCTTGCGCTGCTGGCGAGACACATGCGGAGCAGCCTTCTTTCCCTTCTTGCCACCGGGGCCAGACTGGGTCTTGGGCTTGGCTGCCTCCACCAGATCCTCCGGCTTCAGCTCCTTCAGCAAGCGCAGAGACATGAGCAGACGGACCGCCGGGACGGGCACGCCACCGGCGGCGCCGGTGCGCGCGCGCACCAGTTTGGTCACAGCACGCGTGACATCGAGCGCCACATCGCCGAGCTCATCGGTCTTCAGGACCTCCAATAGGCTTCGCTCGGCCTCGATACCAATCTGCATCAGGGGCGGGGGGGGGGGGGGGGGGGGCGTAAGAAACCGTCGGGTCAGTGATCACGGCATGGCGGACGCCACATGGAGGGGAGGCGGCCCTGGGACAGAGGGAGTACGGTACCTCGGGAGGATGAGCAGTGCCCAGGCGGTTGACGATCGCAATGACCAAGTTGTTGCGGAAGTTGAAATGGGGCTTGGCCACCTATTTGGGGAGAAGGGCCAGGCGCGGGGAGATCGAGCGAAAGGCCGGTAAGAATGGGCGCGCCCCGCTCGGCACACCGATGGGCTGATGAGGGGCAAGGAAAAAGAAAACCCCCAAGACAGGGCGGAGACAAAATGGCACACGCACCAGGAGCTCGGCCATACAGCGGAAGGCCACGATCGACAGCTGCTTCATGTCCTCGACGTCGCGAGCGGTGAGCGGGGCCCCGCCGGCCGAGGCGTCGCCCTCCGGCTCATTGCCAGCACGGCGGGCAAAGCGCCGCTGCAGACGCCGAGCAGCGGAGATCTCCGCCTCGCACTGGGCCAGGAATTGCTGGTAGTGCTTCAGCAGGGTGCTCTCATACATGTGCAGCTTCCGCACGTCCTTGGAGAGCTGTGTGTGCGTGTGTGTGTGTGTGTGTATGACAGCCCAAAGGGAGGAGCAGATGCAGGATGTCAGCAACCTGGCCCAAAGAAGAGCAGGGGGACAAGGAAGAAAGGAGGCAGGAGGCAGGGGGTATGCCAAGCCGGTAAAGGGGCGCACCTCCTTCGGGTCGATATCCTGCAGCAGGACCCGATACCCGGGAATCAGGTCCCGGAAGAGAGCAGCCATGGTGGCCAGGCCGAGCATGCGCACGCGCGGCTCGGCATCGGTGCAGATCTGCTTGACCTGCGCCAGTAGGCCAATATGCTCCTCCGGGAGCTCGGTGATGCGCATGGCCAGCGTGGCCAGGCACTCGCGCTGGGCCACGACCAGGCGATTCACCCCACCGGCGTCCAGGATCTTGGACCGCTCCTCGGTGGTCAGGACAAAGGTCTTGGCCTGGGCCTCGGCTTGGCGTTTGGCCAGCTACGACAGGATGGCGGGAAAGAGATGCATTTGGTGAGCGTGGGAGGGAGCTTGCGAGGGCACAAAGGCGAGGCAAGACAGGGGGAAAGCCACCAAAAGGCAAGAAAGGGAAAGAAAAAAAAGAAGAGATACCTTCTCCTGAGCAATGCGCTCCTTCTCGCGCTCCTTGAGCTGGCGCTTCTCCAGACGCTTGGAGATGTGGCGCGGCTCATCGGCCGAGGGGGCAACTAGGGCCACAGGGGGCAAGTCAACATCCGAGAACATGGGCAGGGCAGGATGAGCACACATGCATGCGCCGGGACACCGGTAGACGTACCCACTTCCAGCTTCTCGGTCGGCACCATGATGGACCCATCGGCCGCCTTGACCGGCAGGCGGCCTGCCTGAGCAGCCTGCGGCCTGCTTTCCCACGAACGAGGACGATGGACAGCCCGGCTGTCATCGTCATCATCGTCCGTGTCATCATCCATGTCATCGTCCATGTCATCGTCGCTGCCAGCATCATCATCATCATCATCACCGCCGGATCCCTCGGCCAGATCGCCGAAGCCGGAGATGAGAGTCGCATCCGAGATGACCGGCGCCTCGACACTGGCCGAAGCACCGGCCTCACCATCATCATCATCATGACCATCACCGACATCGCTCAGGTCGATGTCGTCATCGGAGGGCATGGCATCGAGATCGAAATCGGACAATTCACTCATGGTGAGATCCGAGAAGACAGCCGCGTCGTCGGGCACGACGTTGTCCATCTTGCGGCGCTCCGGGCGAATCATCTTGCCCTGCTCAACCTTCCTGAAAGTGAGGGAACCAGAAGGGGCAGAAGATGCCCGGGGACAATGGCCAGAGGTGGGGGTAAGTAGAGGAGCGCTCAAAGAAAAGGGGACACGGGTCGGCGAAGGGGAGAGGGAGGGGGGGAAAAAAAAAGAAGATGGAAGCATAGCATGACGTACTTGTCAAAATCCAGGTTCTCAAGGAAGCTCAATGAGGAGCCGGCATACTCGTCCAGCGCGGCGATGCCCTCGGCCAAAACCTCCGGGTCAAGCTCCTGCTCGGGCACGGCCGGCGTCTTGGAGTAACGCTCGCTGCGCTTGACGCCAGCATGCTTGGGGCGCTTGGCCGGAGCGTCGGAAGCCGAAGCGTCACCACCAGCGGGGCGCTTGGCGCCAGCCGGCTTCTTCGGCTGCTGCTTCGCCTGGGGCTTGCCCGGGGCAGACCGCTTTGAAGTATCCGGGGCGGGGGGGAAGGAGAGCGAGTGTGATGGGGTGTAGGGGGGAGGGAGGGGGGGAGAAGGGAACGGGTAAGGCGAATGCGCCGGAGCATGTGAGGGCGGGGGACAGGGCGTACCTTCGCCGGGGGAGCAACCTTCCGGGGAGGCATCTTGGCAGGAGCTAATGCGCGCGGGGGATGGGAGAGAGCACCAAAAGGGATCGGCTATGAGTGTAGAGGGGGGGGGGGAGATGCCGGCAGTTGCTCTTCGTTTGTCTGGATGGGCAAGAATGGAGGAGAAGAAGGGAGAGGAGGTAGCGGGAGGGGGGAGGCGGGGGGGGGGGGAGAGAGGGGGGGTGATATCCAGATGCCCGGAACGCCGGTGCGGGGTCCGAAAATGGCAGCCCATATTCGGGTGCATCCCTCGGGGCGCGTGTGTGGGTGTGTGGGTGGGTGTGGCGCGAACGCGCGGGCACACATGGATCCGGACTGCCACCGGATGACCGATAACAAAGGCCGCAGGTGCCGGCGCTTCGACATCCCCCCGCCCCCGTGCCTGGCCCGGCGCACGGGAGAAGCAAGGGGCCTGTGGGCCAGGGGGGGGGGGGGCGGCCGGAGAAGAGCGAAACATGCTGCTGCTGTTGCTGTTGAGCCTGGGACAAGAGACAGGGCGCCAAGCTTGCCCCCCGGCTGGATTTGGGCAATATCTTCCTCCTCCCCCCCCCCCCCTCATCTCTTCGTTGTGTCCCTTCGGGCTGCCGCCATCCTCTGTTACCCTCTCACCCCTGGAACCCACACTCAATCCGCCATGTCCCGCCTCCAGCAGGTGCGTCCCCCGCCCCCCCTCCACCACCACCACCCATGGGCGGCTTTTCTCTGAGGCTGGCTCCGCCGCGGACATCAGCACTGACTCCGGGCCTGCCGTCTTGCCCTTTCCCCTTCCCCTCCCCTCATCATTCTTCCGACGAACGACAGCTGTCGCGGCAGTACATGCGACACCATTCGTTCAAGGTGTTTGTCCTGGCCACGCTTGGCACCACGCTGGCCGGCCTGGCGGCCAGCAACCATTTATACACCGGCCACCGGATCTATGGCGCTCGGTCGCACATTGATCGGGTTCACGACCGCCTTGTGGCGCCGGCCGATGAGGACGAGTTCCACATGATGACATACATCCTGGGGCGGACGTCGCGGTACACCGGCCTGGCTGGCGATGGCCTGGATATGGTTGATTGGGCGGCCATTGGCATCCGGCTGAACCATGTCCGGCTGGGGATCTATGCCGCCCATGCGTACTACGTGTCGGAGCTGCTGGGTGACAATCGGCCTGAGATTCTGCGCGATTGGCGCCATCAGGCCCTTTTCACCTATGTCGCCCGCAAGGAGGAGATCAACGAGGATGATATCCTGCCACCGGTGAAGTCCGGGGCTACGGGGATGTAAGTGCCTTGCTGCGTCGCGCCTGTCGCGCCTCCCTCCCTCCTCTGCCCCTGGTGCGCAAGTGAAGGGCATGCGCGCGGACCCACCACCCACAGAGGTGGCCAAAGAAAATAAAACCATACATAGACCAGGTTTGCACATGTGTCGGTGTGCGCCGGCCCCCCTGCCCGCTGCAAATCCCAACGCCGGGGTGCGGAAGGGGGGGGGGGGGGGGGGGAGCGGGGCAGGGCGATCGCGCCAGGAGCGGGCCAGTGCGGTGGCAGTGCAGGCAACTTGAACCCAGTTTGCGGCGGGCCGGCCCTGTTGACGGGCCGGGCCACACACCCTCACACACACACACACACACACTCACACACATACACACACCCGCCCGGGCCTCGACGGTGGGGACTGATCTGGCACCTTGGCGTGGGCCCGTCTCCCGGCCTGTCCGCCCTTTTCCATTCCCCTCTTCCACATTTCCCACAAGCTCCACTGTCAAGACATCCATCATGGTACACCACCGGGCCCTTGATGCGCTCTCGAGTGCGATGCTCGCGATACTGACACTCCACGCGTGCGCGCCCACGCCCCGCCCCGCCCCGCCCCGCCCTCGCCTCTCCCTCTCCCGGCCACAGATCCAGACCCTCCTCATTAGCGCCCTTATTGAGAACGGCCAGAACCTTCGCATCCCCAACGACTACACCTGGAAGTTCACTGTGCGTGGTGCTCGTGCCCTTTTTGCTGACGACCAATGGCCGAGCATGGACGGGTCTCCTTTGCCGCGTGTCCTCTGACTCCCAAATTTGCTGTTTGCCTTTCCTTTTTCCCTCCTCTCCCTTTCTCTTTCCGGCGCGCAGCTCGAGTGCAGCAACTGCCGCGAGCGGTCCCCCAAGCCTGTGGTCTTCAACGGCATCGTACGCGCGCTGCCTTCTCTGGGTGCACTTTTTTCGCCAGCCTCCTTGCATTCTAACCTCCCCCCTCCTGCCTGTAGGACAAGGACTCCCCCGGTGACAATGATCGCGTCAGCGTCAACTTCTACATGACCTGCAAGGGCTGCCGTCGTCAGGCTACCATCGGTGCGAATTATCCCCTCCCCCCCCCCCTCCCCCTTTTCCCTCCTCCTCCCTTCCTTTTCCGTCCCCCCCGCTCCCTCCTTCGGCCTGCTCCTTTCTCCCCTCCTGCTGACAACCCTGCCCGGTGTGCATTTGGCCCTTGACAGATGTCCTTCGCATCAACATCACCGAGATCACCGGCACCTCGCCCGAGCTGGTCCCCTTCGCCACTTTCGAGTGCCGCAACACCAGCCTCGTGGAGTTCTTCCCTTCGGTTCGTACTTGGCCTTTTGGCCACCCTCTGCCCAGTTCTGCCGGCCCCTGTCCCACCCATGCTCACCCTCTGCCATCCTCCCCTCCGGTGTCGGTTTCGCCCGGCCGCAGGACGAGTTCGAGATCACCTCCACCGAGTCGGACACCATCTTCAAGGAGGTCGACCCTTCGGACGAGTGGGCCGACTACGATGAGAAGGGCCAGGTTTCCGTCTCCATCGAGGAGTTCAACTACAAGCTGGATTGAGATGGCCGCATCACCTGCATGCATGGCAGCCTCCGGCTGATGGGCCGGAGGACGGACACCGTGTCAATACATGTGCGTGTGAGCACACGTCGGCCTCTTGTTTGGCGCGGTGGTGCAACACCAGCCCATCCAGCAATAGGAGACAAGCACCCGCAAAACTGCGCAGCAAAGGAATCACCGTATGTATGGGTTGCACGAAACGCAAGGGAGGGGGATGGAGGACACCCGAAGGGTCGCCACACATCACCCGGTGTGTGGCTTGGAGGGGAGCAGCCGGCGGACCACCTCGGCCACCGGGGCCAGCAGAACGAACTGGGCGGTGACCACGGACGGGGCTTCGGAGATTGCGGGAGCCTGACCCTGCATCTGGCGCGGGGCCGCCTCTTCGGCGGCCGGGGTGACACGTGCCGCCGGCGGAGATGCTGCCTTGGCCGGAGCCGGCGCCGCGCCGGCTGTCGGGTCGTACTTGGCACCGAGGATGGAGCTGGCATTGACTGCCACAAAGCCAATCATCACCAGCACCACGCCCATCCAGTAGACCCAGCTGTCGGGGATGGACACTCCCGAGCCGCCGAATGCGGCAATCAGCGCCTCGGCCAGGAGGGCACCGGGGATGGTGAGCGACAGGCCGAGGGTCACGATGACGGGTGAGGTCATCAGCATGGCACGTAGCCACAGGAAGTCCGACGCCACGGTCCCCAGCAGGCCATTGAGAATCAAGGCCCAGAAAACCAGCGAGGTGGGCGGCAGCTCGAAGGGCTCCAGCCCGGTGTAGTGCGCGATCAAAAGCAGAGGCCACAAGAGCAGGACATTGAAGAGCCCAACGAAAGCTGGGCCAACAGCCGAGGAAATTGGACGGGGAGGGGGGGGGGGGGGAGGGACCAAGGGAGGCGGGGCGGTTGGGTGAGATGGACCAGGGAGCAGATGCACAGGCTGGCGGGGACGAACCAAAGAAGAGCTGGGAGTTCATGCGCTCCTCGTGGCCAATGCGCAGCTTCAGCAGCACGATGTACAGCCCATAGAGGATGGCACCGCCGAGGGCCAGCAGATCACCCAAAAGGGGATTCGGCGGCAGGGGAGCCCCGCTGCCGGAAGAACCGGAACCCGACGTGTCCCCCGAGGCGTCGGTCAGTGCCACCATGACCACGCCCCCGAGACTGGGTGACATTGGTGGCAATGGAAGAGGGCGGCCGGGTGAGTAGGGGCCGGAAATGCCGCGCTGGAAGCATTTTGAGCGTGGAGCGAGCAGCAAGAGAGAGAGAGAGAGAGGGGGGGGTGGGGAGGGGGGGAAGGAGTAGAGAGGGCGCGAGAGAGCAGAGCGGCCAGGAGAAGGGGCCGGAATGAGCGCGTACACGGCCAGGACACTGGAGAACTTGCCGATGCTCAGGAAGTCCACGCGAGCCAGGGCCCCAAAGAGCAAGGTCCACATTCCGCTGGTGGTGGAAAAAATCATCGAGGAGGAAACGGACGTGTAGGCCAGCGAAGCATTGGCCGTGTAGTTGGCCCCAAACCACAGGAGGCAGAAGAGAATCGCCAGGTGGGCAGTCTGATCGGGCAGCCGGCAGATGAGCAGACAGAAAAGCGGGGGGGGGGGGGGGGCGGGAGGGGGACGTCAGTCCGGGAGTCGAGGGAGGAGGGGCTCCATGTGCCGGGCGGCCACCGGGTGCGGAGAAATCCGGCGTACCTCGCGCATGGTGAGCTTCGGCGGGACGGCGGCTGTCGCGTCGGGGGGGAGTGCCTTCGGCTCGGGCATCGAGTCGTCAATCTCACTGAGGTTGGTCGACGCGGCGGGGACCACAAGCGGGCTGTGCTCGGGCTCCGAGTCACTGTCGGAGCTGCGGCCTGGAAGATGAGCATCATCGGCCAGCAGGGGGGCGTCGCTGTCATCCAGCAGGGGAGGATGCTTGGACATGGACGAGGAAATCCGACCAAGGCGAGCCCCATGAAGTGCATGTGTCAGTGCGGGCGTGTGGGGAGGGAAGAGCGGGGAGTCGAGGGGGGGGGG